CCTCGCATGGTTCAGGATTGGTAGAGCTACGCATCGATGAATTGGCTCTTCAGTGTTTGAACTCTCAGTAATGATTAAATCACACTGAACTGAGCTAAACTGAACTGAACTGAACTTAAACACTAAAACCTGAACCACACTGTTCCAGTTACTGAACCACACTGTTTCAGTTACTATGACCATTTATGTGAAGCTGCTTTGACACAATCTACATTGTAAAAGCGCTATACAAATAAAGCTGAATTGAATTGAATTGAATTTCTTTGCTCTGTGTGAATATTTTTGCCTTTAAATGCATGTCATCCATTTCTTATGCTTAGCTTTTATTGATCTCTGTGGCATTGACATTGGTTGACTCCTGATACTCAAAGTTAAAACATAAAAGAAACCAAAGAAAACACATGGCTGCAGTGAAATTCAGCTTATCATCTATGCAATGTCCCACTCTCCCCCCAATACTGACCATTCACATATCAAAACTGAACAGTAAATATATATAAATATATAAATTTATATAATAAATATAAATAACAACATAAAGCATTGGAGTAGATGGGGCAGTAATGGTTGATCAGTAATTTACCATTTATTTTGACAGTAAATATCTGTAATGGGTACATAGAGTAAATTACTGTGATTTATTCTTTGCACTACAGAATTTCATACAAATCCTGCTTCGTTTACAGTAAAATACTTTTTTCTTTTTATTACAGCTAAACGCTGGCTATTTTACAGTTATTTACTGCATAATCTACAGTAAGGGTTAACAGTGTAGTGCTGGGGCCTCACAGCAAGGTCGCTGGTTCGAAACTCAGCTCAGTTGGTGTTTCTGTGTGGAGTTTGCATGTTCTCCCTGACTTTGCATGGGTGCTCCGGTTTCCCCCACAGTCCAAAGACATGCAGTACAGGTGAATTGGGTAGGCTAAATTGTCCGTAGTGTATGAGTGTGTGTGTGGATGTTTCCCAGAGATGGGTTGCGGTTGGAAGGGCATCCGCTGCGTAAAAACTTGCTGGATAAGTTGGCGGTTCATTCCGCTGTGGTGACCCCGGAATAATAAAGGGACTAAGCCAACAAGACAATGAATGAATGAATAAACATGCTGTACCAAACAGGCACAAAATATATTTTTATTACAGCAAAAACAAAATATCCAATAAATCCAGGTGTTACACAATTAAAATACTATAGTCATTTATAGTTAAGGAAAATACTTAATAAGTATGCAATAAGCAGTATATTGTGTATGTATATTTACAACTCTTCGTTAATGAATTACACCCCAATGTATAACTACCATGAACCAATAGAAATTATCATAGTATACTTTAGCCTTTACTACAGTAAACTCTTTCTCTCTCTCTCTCTCTCTTTATATCTCCCTCCGTCATCTTTCAATCAAGCAAGTTTCTCGTATCAGCCCAATGATTGTTTGGCGACATCACCAACCAGAGCGAGAGGTGGCAGTAACACATCAAAAACTTTTTTATTGACCACCGTATAACAGGAAGAAGAAGAAACTGTCATTCTTCTAATGAAGAAATTTCTTCATTACTGATAGCCAAAGCTGTTTCAGTAACCGAAGAGGTCTCCGGTGCACAGAACTGCACAATAGGTGATTGGTGCTGACAAGCAGTTCTAACGTTACACGCGGTGTGTTTGGCAACCCCCCATATGGTCTTCCAGGGCCCTAACACCCATTATCGCTAACGTTAGCTTGAAAGATTTCCGGCATCAACAGCATAGACGTTGCGGTAATTTCCTGGCACAGGCTTGACCCAAACGCATTTCAGATTCCTTGGCCACAGCGACACTTTCCCACTTTAGCCGACAAACTAGGCTAGCGATTTTCTTGTTCTGTACCTCACCTCAAGTAACCATAGTAATGGGTGCGCACGCTTTCGAGCTTTCTGCTTTGGCGTGGAGCGTGAGATGCAGTCAATGTTACGCTGCATAGTTTTTTTTTATTAGCCTACATTAGTAACAGTTAATTTTGTGATGGTATGAACTTAATCTTAAGAAAGGCAAAATCAAATTAATAAAATTAAGACTTTTGTAACAAAATTCAAGACTCTGTATACCAAATTCAAGGTTTTTAAGGCCTTAATTTGAGATGATCAAATTCAAGACTTTTTCAATGCTTATACACTGCAAAAAAATGCTTTTCTTACTTAGATTTTTTGTCTTGTTTGTAGTCCAAATATCTAGAAATTCTTAGTCCAATAAGAATTTTCTAGAGAAGCAAAACATGTTACCTTGTTTTAAAAAATAATCTGCTAATATTAAGTGATTTTTACAATAAAACAAGCAAAATAATCTGCCAATGGGGTAAGCAAAATAATCTTATGTCAAAAGGAAAAACAAGATTATTTTGCTTACCCCATTGGCAGATTATTTTGCTTGTTTTAAGGTAAAAATCTCTTAATATTAGCAGATTATTTCTTAAAACAAGGCAACATGTTGTGCTTGTCTGGAAAATTCTTCTAGGATTAAGAATGTTTTGATATTTGGAATACAAACAAGACAGAAAATCTAAGCAAGAAAAGCATTTTTTGCAGTGTAAGACCCCGCGGGACTCTGGAGATTGCTGGATTCACATATGTCAAATGAACTGCGCTAACTGGGCAAATGAAACAGGTTTCGAAACAAAAGTCTAGGTGTGAAAGCACCCTTAGTCCCCACGTTAGTCAAACATTTACATCTAAACCCCTAACCTTTTCAATTAAACTATGCTGTATAGTCAATTTAGCCTGTAATTATCAAATGGTGTTCAGGTCCTAATTAATTGGTTCAGGTGTGTTTGATATGGGTAGCAACTGAAATCTGCAGGAAGGTAGCTCTCCAGGAACAGGATTGAGCACCCTTGATCTAGCCTATATAATTTGTAAAATAAAGATTTGCAGGTTAAGGAAACAGCATAGGGGTAAGTTGCCATGGGCCTTGGTGCAGATGTAAAAGTTTAAAAAGTTTATTTGTAAATAGAGAAATATAGGTAACTAGATAGAATAGACAAAGATAGATTGATCTCTGCAGCAGCTGTCGAAGAGCTGCGCGCTGCAGACGCAGCTGGTGTGAAAGGCAAACGCCTGCGTGCTGCTTCTGCTCGACATAGACGCTGAAACAGGCTAAAATTATCTTTTTCTTCTTTTGTCTAGAGCACATGCTATCTTTTTCTTCTCAAAAATATTGAAATACTGATTCATCAGTATTCATCAAGTTGGACTGTGTGATGGTCTGTCGCAGATAATTAATAGCCTCTAAACCAAGACCTGTTAATAGCAATTCTGGACTCTGTTACATAGGCCTTCCTTTTGGCACAGTACAGTTTTTACAGCATGGCCACAGGCATATGTGGATGATTTGATGTATTTGCCAAATTAGTACTGAGCCCATGTGGTGATATTGCTTATAGGTTAATGACAATTGTTAATGCAGGGTCGCCTGAGGGATCGGAGATGATGCTTGTTCAGCTTACGCTTGCGCCCTTGTCCTTTACACACTGCAATTCCTTCAGATTCCTTGAATCTTTTAATTATGTTATGCACTGCTGAAAGTGAAATATCCAAATGTCTTCCTATCTTTCTTTGAGGAACATTGTTTTTAAACATTTCAGTAATTTTCTCACATATTTGCTGGTGCATATTATAACTGGTGATTTCTTGCCCATATTTTGCTTCTAAAAGACTAGAACTTTCCAGTATGCTGCTTTTGTGCCAAATCATAATTACAATGACCTGTAGAAATCACCATTTAAATCATATAACTATTTAACCAATTTACTTGATTACTATCGCAAATTGCTGTTTCACCTTTTTTTGTGAAATGTGTTGCATGAACTGAACCATTGGAATATGTGTTTATTTTGAAAAATTTAACACCACAGAAACCCTACATTATTTTATTTTTCAGTAAGATTTTGATGAAATCTTTCCCATAATATGTTGTTTTGTGTTTTGTTCTGGTTTAAGCAGAATGACATAACATTTTGGAGCAAAAATGCAAAATAATAAACCAAAGCTTGAAGCTAAAATTGCAAATATCTCCACAGCTACTGTCAATTTTCCAGGAGAGCTGACATATGATGGGATAAATGTGATCCACACAGCACAGAATATGAGCATGCTGAATGTGATGAATTTCGCTTCATTGAATTTATCAGGTAGTGTGCGAGCCAGAAAAGCCAAGAAAAAGCACAGGACAGCCAACAAACCAATGTAACCTAGGACAGCAGAAAAACCTATAGTAGAACCCAAATTGCACTCAAGAATGGTCTTTTCCTTAAAATATTTCATATTTTTGTAGGGGTATGGAGGAGATATTGTTAGCCAAAGCACACAAATTAGAACCTGTATAAGGGTAAGTGCAATAACACTAAGTCTTTGTTGTACAGGACCAAACCATTTCATAATATCTTTTCCGGGATGTGTAGCTCTAAAGGCCATTAACACCACTACTGTTTTTCCTAAAACACATGAGATGCATAGGACAAATGTGATCCCAAAAGTTGTATGACGCAACATACAGGACCACTCAGTCGGTCGACCAATAAAAGTAAGTGAACAGAGAAAACACAGAGTTAATGAGAAGAGCAGCAAGAAGCTCAACTCTGAGTTGTTGGCTTTTACAATGGGAGTCTCTTTCTTGCTGTAAAATAGAATGGCAACCAGCACAGTTAATCCTACTCCAAAGAGTGAGAAAAAGACTAGAACTATACCCATAACTTCTGTGAATGACAGAAACTCTACAGTCTTTAACACACATCTATTTTTCTCAGCATTAGACCAGTACTCCCCTGGACACTGTTTGCAGTTAACTGAATCTGGAAGAAAATTACAGTTATTACAGCAATTAGAAATAAAAGTATCAATGTTTTATGTAGTTAATTTGTTAAGACATTGCTTGTTAAAGTTAAATAAAAGGGATAAAAAAGGAACAAAAGTCTTAAACATCTTCTTCAAAAATGTGAGATAGGCTGAATATTACCTGTGTCATTACTGATTTCTCCATCTGCACATGGAATACAGTCATAACAGCAGACAGGCCGTCCTTTCTGTACAGCCTTCCTGGTACCGGCAGGGCAGTTCTCACTACACACAGACTTTGGCTTCTACATAGAAAGATGTATGATTTACAAATTTAAAAATTTTAATTTTTAAAAGCATTACTAAGTATGGCATATGTGAACTAATAAAAAGGTAAAGGAAACTACTGTGGACTGATGAATGAAAAATTCTGTAACCAAAGTAAATCTAAAATTGTGCCAGAAATTCAGTAAATTTACATTTCTCCACTTCTTTGCCAAGTCTTTTTGTTACTTTTCAATTTTATCTTATTCAATTTCAAATATTTTGAAAGAAAATTAGCTGATTTGATTTATTATTATCTATTATTACCAATTATTACCCTGGTCCACAAATGATTAATGTTTGGTTCATGTTTATTCTTTTAAATCCTTTGGAATGTAAAAAAACAAAACTCCATTATTCTGCATAAACTCGAACTACAGTAATGGATGGATGTTACCCTTGGTAGATAAGCTTTATCCTTGATTAAACAAAAATACAAAACCTGAATGCAGAGAAAGTGTTTGGTGTTGCACAGTGCATTCCATTCAAAGGGCCCATTCCTATGCCATAATGCCTTCAAACTTGTCAATCTATAAAGGAATTAGGGGCCCTTCCAAATGGAACACAGTGCATGTATTTAGGAATGCATTGGAATTTTATCAATGTGCCCATGATTAGGAATAGAGCTAAACTCCAGGAAAGAACCTCTGAAGGACAAAAGCTGGTTCAATTAGAGCTGGTACCAGTGTTTTTTGTTGTTGTTTAAATTTCATTTACTGATTATTATATTAATTATTTGTCGTTGTTCTAAATGTTATATATTGATATGTAGCTCCATCAGTTAATATTGCATTGTTATTTGCCTCAAGTTGTCCTCCAGTCCAGATTATACTTTCAGTGTTAAGAACAAAGCGCTGGTCATGTGGCAGTGAGGCATCAAAGTATCCCACTGTTTTAAATTGGATTGATCCATCAGAGCCTTGCTGCCAGTTTATGACTTCATATTGGGCTATTGTGGCACCAGTGCTGTCAAACCACACACGATCTCCCATATTTATGGTGAAATTTATTTCTTTTAGAGTGTCAACAACCTGAGAAAATGATGTACAGGAGAGCAAGTCACTTTTTGCAATCACTCTTACATTGTCAATTTGTATTGCGATCATTACCTGCTGAGGTTGTATTTTCAGGTCTTTCTTACAACCTTCATTTACTTTACATTTAAGTAGACTGTGTAATGCATGAGCCACAGCATAAACTGCTTTATAGACATTGCTTGCATATCTTTGTTCAGGCACATCTTCATTGTAATTTTTCAGCAAAAGCAGGTCATCATAAGAATTGCAACTTAATGATGAATATTGAGATACATTTATCTCAGTCTCTGAGCATGGAAAAGCTGTTTCCCAGAAATCTTTTATGACATAGTTTGAAAAACCTTGAATATTGACCTTTGGTACTGCAAACCCCAATGATCCTCCCAGAACACGAAAGCTGTTTGGAGTGAGCAAACTGTTTGCTGTTATCCACGCTTCCACACCAATAATTTGGAGTCCTGTAATGTTAGCTTTAGTTAGTTCCTGAAGCAAATTTTCCATTTCCAAACTGGTAAGAAATGCAACAATTACTTTTGCAGTGCTGTTTTTAATTGTGTCTACTACTTTTCTAAGTTTCTCAGGATCTGTTCGATAGAATTTTTCTGAGTACTCAACACAAATCCCCTCCTCCTGAGCTGTATTTAGAAATATTGCCATTCCATTATTGCCATAGTCATTGTCACTGTTCACAGCTCCCACCCATGACCAGCCAAAGTGCTTGACTATGTATGCAAGTGCTCTGCTCTGATGGTAATCACTAGCAATAGTTCGAAAGAAAGAGGGATGGTTTTTCCTGTTGCTAAGACATTCACATGTGGCTGAGTGACTTATCTGTAAAAAAAAAACCCAAACAAACAAAGAAATCTATGAAACCATCATCAGTATGTAGGGCTTTATTAGACTTGCTATTCAGGCTATGCTGTACAGTCTCTTACCACTGGTATTTTAAAAGGTCCTGTAGTTCTGGACAGAATCACTGTAGCAGAAGACTCAGTTTCTCCTATGATGGCATGTATGGCAGACTGTCCGTTACATTTATCCTCAGCAGAAAATTCTTTACCATTCATCAATGCCATAGTTGCACTCATAGAAGAAAGTCTTGAACCACATGTATCATAAATTCGATAACCAATAGAAACATTTGGAAGCAAACTTTGATTTTTATTAATCTCGTCAATGGCAAAGGTCATTGTCTGAGCCATTCTGAAATCTCTTAGATTTACACTGAGAAAAAAGCCAACAAAAGAATTTGCTGAACAAGTTAATGTATAAAAAAATACAATTTTAGTTATGCACTGTTATGAGATTATACTTTTATAATTTATTACTTTAATTTATTGCATTTCAATGCATTACCTTGTCTAATGTTTTTCAGTTAGTAATATTACATACCTGGAGCATGATAGCAGCTGAGGTTTTACTGTAAACTCAAATGAAGGCAATATTTCTATGCTATGGATTGGGAAAAGTGCTCCAATGGTTACTTCTCCTTCTTTGGATATCAGTGGATTAATATTTTGTCCCATCATTCGGCAAAGCGAGTTTTCTGCTTTTGCTTGTAAAGGAACAACAAGCAGGAGTGTCCAGATAAAGGAAACCATCCCTAATCCCTCATTGAGATCAACTGAAAATTTCAAGCACAGTTTGAACTGATACAGTGTTTTTAAATAACTAAATATAATTAATACGGATGATTGATTGTAACCACAGACAAAGGGGTATGACATAAGGCAGGTCATGTGGGCTGGAATGGAGTCAGCATTCCAATCTAATCAAATGGTTTTTTTTTAAAGCGAGTGTTTTTTCCAGCACTGAAGGTTGTACTCTCAGGGCTGAGTTGCTGCTCGAAGGGTGTATAACAATTGTCAAATTTATTTGTGATTCATTCCACTGTAAAACCCCTAATAAAGCACAGAATAAGTAGAGGAGAGTGAGTATTAATTGAATCAGTATCAAAGAATCTGTCATTTTGTTAAAAAAAATTATATTTGTTTGATTTTTTAATTTATAAAACCAGATTTTTGAGTGATTTCATCAAATACATTTTATTTATGCAAAATAGCAGGAATTTTAGTCTTTCACCAATTACCAGGTTTCATGAAATCCAGATGGACCCGCCTTTGCATAGCAAAACTGGAACCTTCAGCTGTATGTTCACAAACTTTAAGCCAAGTATTTTTCTAAACCATTCCATTAAAGGTATTCTACTTATTATTTATAATAATAATTCATTACATTTATATAGTGCATTAACCCTTTAGCCAGCGCACCGACGAAGACACACTAAGGTGCTGTTTTTTCACATGTCAATGTTTATGAATAGATTACACCAAAAAGGACAAGCATAATCTTGAACAACTGTACATTAGTTTAAAGCTACTCCCCCTAAGTACCCATAGCAGCTAGTTGTTTTTCATTGGAAAGCTTATAAAGAATGTATTTGCTAAAGTTGTGTAAGTTTTGCAGAAAATGCTTATTAGATATGGCTTACATATCATGTAATAACACACAGACACATTCATTGCTGTACATCACGGTTTATTTTGAAAGATAAGAGTATTTAGTCCACCGACACAAGTGTTGAATTATTGATGGTTATTCATTTGTTTGTCACCGTTTCTGCCAGAGACCTTTTGTTTACACTATTTTACCATGGTACTTACACGCGAAAACGATGTCTTTGTAGTTAAAGGCCAGTCGATGTCATAGCTACATTGTTACAGATAAAATGAGACCACAAACTGAATAAAAAGTGTAAGTTATAGTTACTAAAATCTAAACAAAGCCAAGAGTTTTGACCTTATGCATGTCTTTGCTATCAATCAGTCACATGAGTTACTTCCTACTTCCCAGAAGTTTGACTGACAGAATTTAGCTAATGGCTGCGTGATTTTCATGTTAATGGCACTCTTTTTGTTACTGGCTTAGTGAGCTGTCAATCAAATTTTATTGGCAATGCAGTGGGTGAAAGAAAATTGACCCTTAAGGTGGTGGTGTGCTCTGAATTATATTCAGCACTAAATAGTTTGAATAGGGGGACCTCTGGATCAAGACAGAATTTATTAAATGAAATATAAAAATTATATATGAAATAAACCACAGAGGAATAAAGGTAGAATTTTTATGGAATCCTGGCCACGTAGGAGTAGAACGGAACGAAGTTGTAAATAAGATGGCAAAAACAGCCTTGGGGAAAGATGAGGTGGAAATTGAAATCTCAATGGCAAGAGGACTGGGATTCTGAATCAAAGGGAAGACATCTGTATAACATACAAGCTAAAGTGGGTAAAGAAAGGAAAGTATATGGGGACAGGAATGAAGACACAGTCATAACCAGACTCTGTATAGTTCACTCCAATTTAAAGGGGTGGTCCAGAAAGTAATTTTAAGGCTTGGTTTTATTAATAAGATGCAAAGCAATGTGTGCTCATGTTACACTTGAAGGAAATCATGCTATTGTTTCATAAATCTCACGACTCAGCTAACATGAAAACGACTGATACATTTACTAGTTCCTCTGAAAGGCCCACCCTCAAGTGACTCTGATTGGTCACCGTCAACATGTGATGCGATTTGCGGATCGGTTCCTTGTCATGCCCGCAACAAGCACGCACGTTTTGTGTAAACAGTCAACATGTATTTGTAACCAGTAAAAATGGAATGCGGCTCCTTTAAGAGAGTGTTTGTGTGCCATTGTGTGTGTGTGTGTGTTTATACTGTGAACTATCTGTAACACGAGAAGCGCATGTGCGTGGGACCGATGTTTATTTTTCTTTTCCTCATGCTCGGATTAAGATTTATTTTTGGTGGTGACGCTGCTGACAGAATAAAGCACAAGATGTGGGATGAGACCTGTGTGAGCCTTGATTGATTGATTTATTTTTTTTGGTGCTACACTCTAGTTAGGAGAGCATTGCTGTATTTTTTAACTCAATGCGTTACACGATGTATTTAACACATATCTGAAATATGCCTGTGTAAGTAACATGAATCGTTCACATATCCTTTGCGACTTCATTGTCTGAGATGTAAAACGCAATGTAAAAGCTGCTGAAAGAGAAACTGTCGTCGCACAAAGAGAGACACACGTGCTGTGTGTGTGTGTGTGTGTGTGTGTGTGTTTACTGCAGTGTAAGATGGCTAAATCTCTCCAGAATATCAGACCCTAATAACTCTTATGGAATTTTATCAGACAAGATGCAATGTTCTAATCTGAGAAGTGATGAAGAAACCAGCTGTTCAACTGTTCTATTCAAATCACTGTTGACAATGCAAACACAGGCTGGAGAAACAGAGCTACACTACAGCAGGGGGTAATGCAAGAAAGTCACCCTTCTCCTTCCACCTAAAGCCCCCTTCTTGACCCTTATATTAGCTTCTGATTAAAGCACTTTTCACATAAAATGTTCAAGGTTTTGATATGGTGTATCTTGCAGCACTATATTCATGTTTGGTATCATTTTTAATGTCTCTGTGTGATTAGTAAAGTGGTCTTAATTTTACAGTAATATTTCACTGGTATATGTTGATTTGGTTTTTGACTTTGATAAGATTTTGATAAGATGCTCTCCCTCCTAAGAGATGGTTAAGTCCTCAAATTCACCAGGCCAGGGTTTCTGTGACACTTCTATTGTCTTGAATTTATGGCTGTTTGTTTTGACTTGAGTATATAAGGTAAGATGTGCTATAGGACAGGGGGAGATCTTGTAAAAAGACACCCCATTGCAGTATCTCTGAGACTTATGCTGCAATGTACTTCTCTGGTCAGGTATGCATCTCTAACTCTTAGATTTATCTTTGATTAAAGGATGTTATATTGTTAGTCTCATCTGTGAATTGGCTTCTTGATGATTTATTATGTAATTGGCAGAATACAATTTTGCCTGAGAAATAAAATGTTAAGTTTTGATTAATTCTGGAGTTTTGCGAATTCATTGTATCCAGTAGATTATGAGGAGTCTTCATTACCTTTATAGTACGGCATAAATTGAATTGATTAATAGGCACATTTGATTATAAGTAGCCATAGCGTGCCGATAACATGTAGACCTTTTAATCATTTAACCACTGAAAGCAGCAAGTTGTATGGGCTTGGCTAAGGATCTATTTTTTAAGACTAGGTAAGCGTTATGCGACCAGCTTATTTAAATATAGTTAATCCTGCATCCTTTGTCTCTACATATTGTCGACATCTTGTCCGTGAGAAGAAGTGCAAATAGGGGCGTGGAACTCTGAGCGATGTTGGTCCCTAATGAATGTACAATTTAGAATATCGGACCCCAGAAAATAGATTAATTACAATTAGAAATACAATCTAAATTTTAGGATCATTGAAATTGGAGTCAGATTGAATTCGGAGCTAAAAAAACGAATATAAATAAATTCTAATAAATAATTAAATTCTTTTTAGAAGCACTAGAAAAGGCTTACATGCATTAAACCTTCCACCATGCTGTTAGTTTCTTCATTGGGCTAATAGATGGACCCTTACAGCAGTTTGACTGATAAATATGGATATGTGGCTAAATTGTTAGTGGTGGCGAACATTATTTCCCATTGTTTACATTGTTGTTGCAACATACCGTTAAGGCTAGACACTGTACATGTCATGATCAATTTTAACAAATAAAACACTTACAGGTCGTAGGTCAGAGTTCACAGCATCTCCTTGTAGTTGCTCCATCTTTGAGGAGTTTTAGCCGAATCCAGCACTGAACTTGGAGAGATTCTGGAAGCTGTGTTTGGTCAAATCATGCTTGCTATGTATTTTATAGTTCTCTGGAACATAATTAATATTGAACTGTAAGCACTTCTGTGTTTGGGTCGTGTCATTTGGAAGCCCAAATACAGAAACAGAGAAGCTCTGTGGAAATAGCAGGATGGCATTTTCTCCCTCTGCTGTAACGTTACAGCGCCTCTGGCAACGGCCCTTAGCTGCGCAGTGTGGGTGCGCAGTAAACAAACCTTTGTGATCTCAAAGGGGGCGGATGTATTTTTTGTAGTCCCCAAAATTTGTTCATTGTAGGCTTTGCTAAGCTAACTCTGTAAAAACCAAGGTTTCCCTTTGCATTGAACTTTGAGCTTTGTGTTTGATATGGGTAGCAACTGAAATCTGCAGGTAGGTGGCTCTCCTGGAACAGGGTTGTCCACCCCTGATATATACAGATATATACATTAGATGTCTCCTACCCTGTTGTTGTATATTGGAAGGAATGCGTCAACAGAGCCGCCATTTTAGTACAGGGTAGCACTCCATTGAAATGAATGTGGGACCAAGCTGCAGTGGAGGACTGTGGCCATCCAAAGCCAGAGATATACACATATATCTATGATCGGGTGCTTTCCCGGAGGTCAGTATGCAAATTAATTACGAAAATTATAATTTTACCTCAATTTTGTACATTGATGGATAAGAGATCGCACAGGCATTACTATCGATTGTACTAGCCAACTTCCCTGT